TCCAGGGCTACTTGGGAGCTGTCATCAGTGCCGTCTCGATAGCCGTGGGTAACCCTTTCCTCTTCCTCTCCCTGTTGGTTCAGCCGGGGTCCTGGGAAGAGGGGGCTGTTGGGGAAGCCAGTGGGTAGCCACCCTCAGGAAACCCCCAGCCCCCCCCCCAGTGCCCAGGGCTGCTAAAGGCTCCAGCAGCCGCCCTGCTAGAAGGCTGGGCCTTCTCCAGATCCCTTGGCCGGCCCTGCCAGTGTTTGGTTCCGTGGAGCCTTGGGGTGGGTGGACTGGCGGGTGTGAATCTCACCCTGGCTGGAGGAAAGGGCCTGTGATTAGGTTCTCGGCGCGGGGCTTGCAACACCCGCCCCCCCCCCACCAAAAATGAGGCCAGCAGCCTGGCTCTTTGTTTGTCAGTTTCAGCAGCCCTGGGCCTCATTAAATGCTCTCAGCTGTCAATTAGCAGCAAATCGCCTCCTGGAGTGAACCGATTAGGACTTGATGACCTGAAAACAAGTGCCTTTCCCCACCCCTGCCTTGATATGGAAGAGACCCGAGATTAATTAACACAAGACCTCCACCACCACCACCACCCCAAGCCCAGCCCGGCCCAGCCCAGCCTGCCACCCCTGGCCAGCAGAATCGGGAGCGCTGGTGTCGCTGGTTTCAGGTGAGGGCCTGCCTGGTGCAGACTTAGGGCCCTTGGTCAGTCCCCCAGTAAAAATGTCATAAGACGTCATCCACACACCCAAGGAAAGTTCGTCTTGGCCCCTTTTGCTTCTTAGCTGATGGTGGTGCAGATGCTGCAGCCTCGTGTGCCAAGCCAGAGCCCGTGGCGCTGCTTCAACCCCCAACAAAGCCCCTCTTCCAGTCAGAGGGAAGAGGAAAGATGGGGAAAGGCTGCTGTCCAGCTGCCCTTTTGCAAGATGCTTTTCGTCCCATGCCCCCTTTGAAAGCCTGCTGAATTGGAATCCATGGAGAGATCCAGCCACCTCTTCTGTTTTAAATCCGGTGGAAGGCGACCAGATGGCTCACACAGACTGACCGGCTTCCTGGCTTCTAGACACTGGATCTTGTGGGCTTGAGTCACACCCAGAGCCTGTGTCCCTGAATGTGAAGGGTGGCCATGCCTACAGAGCCTCTGGGGCTTCCTGGGGCCACCGTCAGGCTCTTCCTCCTTGGCTTCGCCACAACAGACAAGCAAGCGATAACTCTTTGGGTGTGTGTGGGGGTGGGTGGTTGGGTGGTCTTGACAGGGGAAAACCCTGTGCCTTCAGCTGCCCTTTGCAGAAGGAGGGGTGGAAAGAAGGGAACTGGAGGTCAGGCGGGGGCAAGACCCCTAGGACCAACTGCCAGGCCCCACAGAGTCGCGGCCAAGCTGTCCCCAGACCTCGGGAGTGCCCCCGCCCGTGCCGGATGGCCAGGAGGGGCGAGGAAGGCCGTGGGTGGCCTCCAGCTCCATCTTGAACTGATGATGGGCTGTCGCAGGGGATTCTCAGGTTGTCAACACAGCCACTGCGCCGCTCGCAAACAATTATCAAGGCCAGGCTGCAAGCATTAAGGGACACCGCAGGAGCCCCTTCACCTAGACCAGAGGGCGAAAAATGGTGTCGCCGTGGGTGTGCAAAGCCAGGAGGAAGGAGACAAAGGGGCAGGTGGCAGGCAGAGCCCACGGGAGCACCCGGCCGTGTCTGAACAGAGCCAGGAGAGGCAGACAAAGAGGCCGAGGAAAACGCCGTCCTCCTTCCCGGGTACCCTTTGCAAAGGAACGGCCGAGAGGTGGAGAGGCCTCCGGAGGCCCTCATGACCTGGCCAGAACCAGAGGCACCAAACAGGTGGCTTCTGCAGAGTTGTTGTGCGGCGAGACTACACCAACCCCCGCACACACACACACTAGTGGCCAGAAACCTCTGAGCAGCAGGGGGGGGGAGTGCACTCTTCAGTGGGGACCCTCTCTAGTCCTTGAACCCGCAGCCTTAAAGGCAGGGCAGGGCCCACTGGGGCTGCCGGACCAGCTGACGGGGTGCAGGGGGTGAAGCAGGCACCAGCCCTTCCTTGGAGGCAGTGCCAGCGAGGGACGGCTGCCTTTTGAGCCCCTGAGGGCCCCTGCAGTCCTTTGGGCGAGAGGTGGCTGAGCTGGGTGTCATCGCAGCGAAGCCGGACATTTCCCATGACCTTGTTGACTAGCCAGGCCCGCTACTTGGTGCCCCGTTTCCTCTTGCTGGAGGCTTCTTGTCAGAGGGACCCTCAGGGCTGGTGGGGGAATGGCTGCAGAAGAGCTTCTGAAAGAGCTCACCAGGCCCCTTAGAAAAGCCCCTTTGTAAAGGTGGCCAGAAAACGTGGCTCCAGGAAAGGAACGTCCTCCTTCCACTGGTGGAAAAAGTCACTGCATTCCGAGGAACGGCTCGGAATAAAGTGGTTCCTGGTAACTTGCCACTTCCAGGCTCTGGTGTTTGGCTGCGGGAGTTAGAAGGGGGGGG